ATCGCGAATTCAACTCGAGTATGCGCGAATATCGTCAAGTGCGCGCGCGGAGAAGAGGTGGTGTGGAGATGCATGCGACGCCGAAATCGGGTGAACTCGCAGTGTTATGCCCAGCGTGCCCCCAGCCCGGTATCAACATGCGACCTGGCTGGCGGGAAAGGAAACATCCGTACAGGTGCGACATCGACGATTAGCTAACGTGCTCTGACTAACGGTGAAAAGATATATCGACGCCCTGACGTACTCCATCGACGGCAACTTTCATCTCGGGTCGAAAGCCAAAGAGACAGACGAGGCCGACGTTGCTTTGAGCGAAGGCGCAGGCTATTTCGTCAACTCCAAGGACTTCAAGACATATCTCGAGAAAGCGCCGGAACCACCCGCAGAGGTGAGCACGCAAACCAGAGTCCGTGACGAGGCTAAACTGATCGCATGTCGTCGGCAGCCGACGACATGCAACCAGTTCGGAGCTATGGGCACCGGTAAATATAAAGGCAAGATCTCGGGTGTGATAGCGATAACCTGCCGGCACATGTTCCTCCTCCCCGGAGGGATCGTGGACTTGCAGTTGGGTGAAAAGTGAGTGATGCGATTGATCGTAATGTTGAGAGATAACTAACAGAGGTGGTGACGGTAGACACCGCTTTGTTGACTTCGCACTGGTTTCTGCGATGCAGCGGTACCTGTCACTGCGCCTGCTGGTGGGCACCTACGACATACACTGTCAATACATACGTCACTTACGGAAGCGCCTACGAGAACAATTCGGCGAAGTCATTGAAGAACTCGACTCCATACAGTCGTCAGAGCTGCCGGCCATCGTCGCAGGTGTAGGTAAGTACCACCTAGCGATGCACAAGGGGGAATGTCGACATCGGCACTCTCTCCATTACCTCCCGGGTTCGTGCATGACCGACGGCGAGATGCTGGAACGTATATGGGCGGTGATGAACACGGTCGCCCGACGCACGAAAGAGATGTCTGCCGGACATCGGCAAGACGTCTTGAACGACCACTATTCAGACCAAAACGTGAGACGGGTGCACAGCATGGGTAAGCGGGTAGTGATGAACCGCGTACTGTTCACGTATTCATCGTCATAGTACCGGAACTGGTGGAGAAACTCCGGGTAGCAGACGAAATGGCCCACGTGTCCACCGAATATATACAGTGCGTGGAGAAGACGATCAACCCACACGATTTGGCGACTTGGCGGGAGGCAGAGGAAGAATGGAAGGAAAAAGTCGTCGATATCACGCAACATAACGGTCTACCAAACCCGTACGAGCCCCCACAGGATGCAAGTGAGTCCATCTACGATTAGCCCGACGGCTGCAATACTGAATGAATGATTCTCCAGCTCTCACGTCGCAGGCCATACTGGCGCAGCTCCAACAAGAGCGTCTTGCGGAAGGACAAAGCGGCCCAACGGCTGACGTGAATGTAGTACATACGGTGATGGAATTACGGGATGAGAGGTACGGGTTGCGGATGGCATAATCTGGCACGCGCTGATATATTGACAGCGAAAGGTTGCGCGCACAAGTGATCGCACATAACGGTTCGGAAACGGAGCGATCTCGACTGGCGCTCCGACTTGAAAACTATCGCGAACGGGCCGCTGCCTGCCGAGAGAAGTACATGTCAACCATACAAGTGGCGGTGGACAGTGCGATGGCCGAGGTCGTCCCGAAGGAATCAAGTGAGGCCTTCCCAAATCGAGATGATATCGACGACCTAGAGAAAGGCATCCCTGTGCTTGCGTCCTCCAAGGGCAAGGCCGTCGATGGAAGCTCCCGGACACCACCACGGAGGTCGCGCGTCATAGAGGAAATGCTGACGATCCTGGACGAGGGGACTTTCCGATTGCCCTCAGATTGCCACAGCGCCGTGCGCGAACACAAGTCTATGGCGCCTTTTACTCGGCTGGAACGCGCTCTGCGAGAGGGCCAGGCCAATGAGGCGTTGGACGTGCTGCGCCTGCACCTCACTACTCACCTGGCGCTGACTGTTCGGAAACAGGAAGGGGCCGGTGTCATCCACAATACGGCCGCAGATCGCCGGCTGCAGGAGAAGCGCGACGTGATAGACAAGTGGAAAGAAAAGTATAGGCATCTGCGCCTCCTGCTTCTCGTGCTGGGGATGAGCGACGACGATAATACGTACAGGCGCCTCAACGACGACGACTGCAAGGCATTTACCCTTTTGGTGAGCGAACAGAAGCTGGGTGATAGCTTCAAGAAGCCTACGTGGATATGGGGCGACTTCGGCTGGGCAGAGAAGCTGGAGCAGGGGGAGATCAGGGAGTTCGTGGGCCACGGTAAAGTGAATAACTGTGGCCTTATGACTGACACTAACGAGCGCCATAGCGATGCGTGCGCATTGGTTTAGGCACAACGCACTCAGGACGCGTTGGGAAGAAGAGGTGAATGTGCGCTTGGAGGAGATGTGGCGCACGCTCGCTTTTTTCGAACACATGGAGCGAACGTGGTTGGTGCGAGCTGATGTGATGGCCAGCAAAGGTACTGCACTGGCCGGAGCCTGTGTGTCTGCGAGAAGGTACGTATGACGGCAATGTCTATGGCCATCACTGATACCTGCACAGACAAGCTCATCGGTGGACACGGCTGAGGCACAGAGCTGAACAAGCGTTCCCGCGAACCATTGATCAAGTAAGGGTTATATCATGGTCAACTAAAACTATCTGACGTAGACACAGAGACTGGGCATGCCCGATAAACCAGCAAGGTCCGCCCTGGCCACGACAGTTCACGCTTCGGAGGAGGTAGTACGGGGCGCAGTAAATGCGCGGACGGTCGTCCAGGCAATCGGTGAGAAGTAGAGTGCTTCGTGCTGGTGTAGATGAGGGCGCGGGGTTGAGTCGAAGAGACGGATACATCGAATGTGTAGCAATGTACGTCCGATCGGCAAGGACGTATGCTTTGAAGCTCAAAATAAGAAGGCGAACCGCAAATATTGTACGCATACTGACTGAACTCGTTAGGTATTGACCTGAGGACCTGATCGGTCACGCAGATATGTGTACTAGGGAACAATGACCCGCTTTGTTGCGTCAAGCACGCCCTCCCGCACTGGCTAGAGGCCGTGCCCAGCGACCGGTAGGCCCCCACACTCATGCTCTGCCCGATTACCTCGACGTGGAAGTCCAGGGCTAGGACGCCGAAGGATGTCGTACCGCACTCGCTGGATGCGAAAGGTTGCGGTACCTACCGCTTCGCCTGGGTGCTGTCGATCCTCGGGCGAGTGGCCGCGCTGACGTCCAAGCCTATGGGCCCAGCCACGGAGAGTCCGCACAAGGACGCGTTGCGTTGGGTGGCTAGGAGAAATTCGTACGTAGATTGTACATTATTATGCGTCCGTGCAACGACTTATCACGCGCCGACTGCTTGCTGCCAGAGGGGGCGCAGACGAGTGCGCCCGTGCACGCGCCAATGCGTCCGCTCGGGGATGCGGGTGGACACGGCACTGACCTCGATTTGCAGCCGCCGTCGCGGGTGTCGCTGCCTGCCGTCTTGGTACCTCCAGCGCAGCGCAGAGACGTCTTGGTACGTCGTGCGCGGATGCGGCGACGGTCGCGGTACCTCGGCGGCCGTGCGCGTGCATTGGGCATCCACACGCCCACACTCCACGCAGAACCGCGTTCGATCGCGCAGTGTGCACGTCTGGCTCGACGCGGCGCGCACTCTCCGTCTCACCGTCTACCACGACGCGGCGAGCGGGAGGTCGGTCTCTGCGCGCCAGCGCCCGGCTCGACGCGCGCGAGCTCACCGGCACACCGTGTCGCGCGACACCGACCTCCCGCTCGGCGTACTGCTCTATCTCAACGCCGTACCGCTCTCCGCTCGGCCCTCTCGTACCCTCGGTCGAACCGCGACCGCGCGCGTCACTCGACGCTTATCCCTCGACGACGCCCCCCACTCGACGCCGGTACCGCTCTGCCTCGCCCCGCGCTCGCCCCTCTCGGCCACTTACTCGAACGGCGACCGCGCCGGCCTCTGCACGCCTCTCACTCGACGTCCGTCCCCTTCTACCTCGCACCCCGCTCGCCCCTCTCGGCCACTGGCTCGAACCGCCACCGCGCCGGCCTCTCGACGGCTCTCCCTCGACGACGCCCCTCACACCACGCCGGTACCCCTCTGTCTCGCGCCGCGGCCCCCGCCTCTCGGCCACTCGCTCGAACCGCGACCACCGCAAGCCCTCCGCGACCACCACAAGCTTCATGCCGTTGACTGCCGAATCTCAAAAGGTCAGCTATCACGGCATCAGCGCGTATGGTACTCACTGGTTAGTAGGTGCTCCAGTCGATTTTCAAATCGAGCAAGAACGCGCGGTGCGCATTCGACTGGAAGGACTTCAATCAGGTGAGTATGGCAGCCTTTCCGTGGGTACGTTCACTAACATGTCCGTAGGCTATGGTGGAGCTGGGATTCGACATCAGCCGAGCGGGTGTGGAATTCCGTTACAAGGTCCCCGCGCGCTGGGGTGGGGGGACATTCGTTTTGCACATGGTAGGCATCCGTTACCTCGTTGCTACTGTTGCTAACTCGTTTATTACAGGATCACAAGCATAAAATGCAGCGATCGCGGCAAAATTAGTAAGTGCTGATAAGTTTCTAACGGTTTATTATATTGACGCGCTTGTACAGCGTGAAGACGCGCCTCGCGCGCGCGTTTGGGTGGGCGAGCGCAACGTTCGACGACGTGAACGACTTTTAAGTATAGGGGATCATGTACGGTACTGTACTCGCAAGGCTGAGTAAATGATATTGGTGTTGTATGCGGTGCGGCACGCGTCCTAAGTAGTGCTCGTCATACGCGATCGGACGGCCAGCCACAGGAACTCGTCGGACGCGATCGGAGGGGCAGGCACGCGGGGTGAAGTCGATCATGGGCCCGCGGGGTAATATGGGGCGTAAGTAGCCGTAGTCAGAAATCAGAAATCTCTAAATGTATTCTATTTACACCACAGTATTGTATACAGCTCTATAGCGTAGTGGCTCGCGCGTTTCACTAGTACTACGTTTTGCACACGTTCCGCGTTCGATTCGCGCTAATGCTATATTTTTCGTTGGCTGCAACTACAATAGACGCCCACCTCGCTGTGACTGCAACTTCAGACAGGCGCCCGCGTCTCGCGCGTCAGTGGCTGTGCCCCAAGGCGCCTATTTGGCTTTAAACCCGCGAAGTTGCAACTCCCGCTATTTATTACACCTAGATAGTTGCAATAACCGTTGTATACTCTACAACTTTGCCTGGGGCCTGACACAACGATTGAGTGAAGTCCACAGAGAAGCAGAGGAACATACATGTTCATATAGGAATGCCCTTAGCTCGCTGAATTGAAAGGTACTCCCGGCAGAGATGGTTTGTGCCGTGTCACCAGCCCAGAACATGCCTCGGGAATTTTGGCACAGTGCGCTCAGCACTAGGGTGTATAAACCGATATTCAACGTCATGTAGACTAGAAAGGAGAACAAGCATACCAAATGTGTCCGCGAGGAGGTTGTCTTGGGCCTCGTCAACGTACCTTGGTCGGGTGATTAGCACTGATCCGTTAGGGCGGAGGAACAAGGATATACAGGAAATCTACAGCAAGACCCGGAAGACCATTCTGTCGGAGAGCATGTATGAGTTCACGCGTTCTGGAGTAGGATTAGCGCACACTCAAAATACGAATGTTTCACATTAACACACCTATCTGCTGCATCGCGCTCCCAACGTTGCCCTTTCTTTGTGCGATACAGCAAGAAAAGCGTGTAGATTGCATTGCGTTGGTCAGGATCCATGATCAGAGACCGACAAGTGATATTGCAATATGCCTCCCGGTCGAGATACCCTTTGTCGGAGTGCAGGGCATTGAGGGAACCCTGTATGACACCTATGGAGCATATATCAAGTGACCTCAATCAGTTTGGCTTGCCAGACCCGTCACGTACCCAAGAATTCGCTAAAGACAATATTGGGGTCTGTAGAGTATGTGAGTGGTCAAAGGTGCATAGCAATATGATCTTTCGCTTACTGAGTCCTTTCCTGAGGTCTTGTGGAAAGTGGGACCAGTACATGGCTCGAAAAGCACCATACTGGAGGATACCATCAACGTCGTGCACGACGCTGAGCTTTCGGTCGCCATGTCGAAAGGCGTCCCGCAGCAAGCGCTGTCTTCTTGTCGGTGTATCCCCTGCGGCAAGTGTAGCGTCGAACTCATTTTCGAGAAGCCGACACAGCTGAAGATGATCGATTACATGGCTGAAACCAGATGAAGGACGACACAAGACTCAGAATCTTACATGGTCATAGGTAATGAACATAGGGAAGTGTTCGTCCGTCAGCGCACCGTACCGCTGGGGGAGGTCAGATCGCCAGTACAATTCCTCATCAGAGTCGATGAGTCGCGACCGTGTTCGGACAGCCCCCATGTGAGTAGCGATCCTCTTGAGCTCTGAGGGAATGATATGCGTCGTGGACAGAGAGAGCTGCAGCTTCCTGTAATACTCTTCGACCTTATTCGCCAGGGTGCGTGACTGGGTGACGAAGAGCTGGCGAGGCTTGCCGGCATCTTCCCCAAGGCCCGTTTGCCATGCACGCTCGATACCAAGCATCTTGTATAGCATAGTGGTCGTTTTCCTGGCGGATTACGTTTTAGCCCATGTGCATGCCAAGATGTAGCGTTACGAGACTTACCCTGTACCACTTCTGCCTGCATGCCCCGCATGATGTCAATATCTCGTCTTGCCGTGCTGTGTGAGGATCGGCTTACCGATGACGACACATGAATCAGTATACTCTATTATATCCTTTTCGTGGGGGCTATTACAGGATCAATGTTAGTAATCCCGTCGTTCGCAAACATGCATTATAATGTAACACTTACGATACATTGAAGACGTGCACAACGTCCAGATCGGCCCAAATGCCTGCCAGACCAATGTCTTATTTCTGCGGATGGACGAGCCAGGTATTTTGCTCAACTCACACTTCAAAAGCGTCTGTATCAAAATTTAGATGAAGTGAACATATGACGGCTCGGGGCTACCCACGTACTTTGGAGAACTTGACATATCCCTCCAAACTATATTGAAGACGCCGTCAACGAGGCCGACTACGAAAATGTGTCTTACGCAAGGAGCACTACGTACACAAGGGCACGAAGCTTTGAAGAGCATATCAGCCTATGCTGTCAATGATGTCGTAAAGGCGCCCCGCACCTCTGTCGATTGCTCCGTTGTCAGGTCCGAGTCATTCGGAAGTTGTGACAATTGTCGTTCTTCTATGTCGTTATTTCTGGCAGGAAATTCGCCAGGTAGCACTACGTTGTCACCCCTTCGATAAGTCGGTCGGTTTCGGTAGGCGCATCTGAAAACGGAACATAGTCATCATTAGAGCGAAGTTCGAGTCGCCCATAATCAATCAACCACGACAGAATCGCTCTAACCTCTTCTTGTATTCGGCTCCCTGGCCGGCGAGCGTGTGGCTCAATGCATCCCAAAGACGCGCGTCGAGTTTTGCATGGGTGTAGATGCCGAATATCCGAATCACTGTTTAATGTGCACAGAATCTATGCGTTAATAAAGCCCTGGTTACGGGGCGACATGCATCACCTTGCCGCTCGACCTGTCATGAGTAAAAATTGACGGAATAAGCACGGTTTTCCATCGGAACCTTCAGGCTTACATTTGTTTCGAAGTCAGACGCGCAGTGAATCTGGTACTGGAAAAAATGACACCTTTGACATGAGATATTAGGATATATTTACATAGCTCTTACCACCAAACGTAGGTCTCTCGACATCTTCGCTTCGAAGACAGGGACGCCGACATTCACTCCCGTAAGCTTCTTATGGTTGTCGTTGGAGAAATGACCGTTCGAAAGTTCTCTGAAATAAAGGAAGTTAAACAATGCTGTCGCGAAGCCTTGACTCAAAGCAGAACACACCGGATCTTCTTGACAATGATCTTGAATTTCTTACCATCCTCGTTGCGAGCATTACGAAGGTCGCGTAGGGCGCGAGTCGAAGCGGTAATAGGCCATTCTCCGAAGCCTTCGATATTCTCCAGGTACAATGAGGCCATCAGCCTTCGATCAGCTGGGCAGGGGAGCGAATCAGTCGCAGGCAAGGTGTCGAAGTCAACGGGGGGCGATTGCGTATGTTCTTCGTCATCTACTAGAGGCGGATAGACGCGCTCTTCATTCGGCGGAGTTGGCAAATAGGCATCATGGAAGTATGTTCGATGCGGCTCGCTCCGAAACACCTGTAGGTAGAACTACCAAAACATTGAAATTCATATTCTATAAACGAGAGCGAACAGACTTACCTGCAAAATCGCCCGCTGCTCTTGAAGGATGGCGTCCGTGATATCAGCAGCTTGAGCCGCAGATTCCGGTGGCGTCATCCCCAAGTCCAAAAATGTATTTCTGTTGATAGTGAAAGCGGAGACGGTAGGAGTCGCAGACCTTCTCTTTGACTGTGCCTTTCGTTTGGCGATGCCTTTGGGGTCAATGGATGAGACTCCTCTTCCTTCGGCACTGTCTGGAAGACGTGAGACGGCCTCGAGGATCGTTGCAGCGTTTGCTATGGAATGCTGGTGGGCGAGAAGTGTCGGGGGCGCCTCGACGACCCTAGCGTATGGGAGAATGATGGAGCTCGAGAAACGCGCCAGCAGAAAACTGTGGATAGATGAAAAATACTGCCCGGGCGTGGTGGGAAATGTGTTCATCAGGGCGGTTTTGAAGGTGTAGAAGAGATCGTCGTTCGCTCCTGAGCATAGTTCGCTGTCAACAAATACACAGCAGTAACTGAGACAACGGCGTACCAGAAAGAACGAAATCGAGGAGAAACGGCACATGCTCCATCCCGGCTACTAACTCCTCCATAGGAAATTCCGAGGTTTGCAGATAGTGCTCGAAGTTTGCGAACGCCGCATCGACTTTGAAGTCGTCTTGCAAAGATGTCTTCGCGAATATCGATGCTACCTTTGCAATCGCCCTGTCATCTGCATTCGGTTTGTTGTTGATGCTCCCTGGAGAGGGCATGGTGAGGAGGGAGAAGAATGGGACCACCCACGACGAAGGAGTTCGAGCGAGCACGGATGATAACTAACGGCGCTGTCGATTGTATAGGCACACAAACAGCTCAAAACGAGACAAGTTCGGACTCCTCGAGGCTTAAAGTTTGCGAACACGTTCATATGTGTGCGGATCATCCCCCGCCTGATTCCCCAGTCGACCTGAAAGTCGCTTAGTAAAGCGCACTATGATGATCTAACTAAATGCTTTCAAAGCCCCTGTAAGTGACCGTGTTGCGATATTATGCGTGTAGACTAACCTATGGCTTTCCCATGGCGATATCATTGTGACCGGCCGTTGACCCGGCCGCTACCAATGGTGCTGCGGTAGGTCCAGTGCACGGCCGCGTGTTATGCCAAAGCTATTCTTCTGGTGTGACGAGTCGGACCTGGAAGTGGGATGGGTGATGCGGCTGCTATGTATTCACTGCGCGCTATCTGTTGCACACATGGGGTCAGTCATTGATGTTAAGCGACACAAGGGATTTGGCCGTGGTGAAGTGCAAGTACTTGGTGGATTTCACGCCGGGAGCGCCCGTAGGTGGGGTAATCGGGCATAAGATCTGAGAAGAATCCCTCAGTGGGCGCTTCGAAGAGCTTGCCTCGTAGCTCTCGCGTATACTTCAGAATCGCTCTGCGAAACAGCGTTTTTGTGTAATACAGTACTTTACTGTATGAAGAATGTCCCTAGATACTCGCTCTCTCTTAGTAATTTATGCCTCAAATGTTTGTGCACGGTTTGTCAACTTTCATGGCCTACCTGATACGGGCGCCAATGTACATGCCCAACAGCCCGTCCGTGGGTTTACATTAAGAATATACCAATCTATACCATGATCAGTGCTGATGACCGATGATCTTTGGACTTGGTTAGTACATAGTGCCACCGCTCCACAGCTATATTGAGTGTGAGAGCTGCTGTTATGAAGTGGATCACGGCTGTATTGCAGTACTCGATGTCTGTCCACTACGAGTGTATTGATACATGCATCATCAT